ATATTCTGTGTACGTGGTGGGATAGCAGGGTGGTAATAAAACATGTATTAAAGAAGAAGTACAAGAGTAATATAGAAAGAAGAAGAACAACAAAAAGAAGACAAACTGTCTTTTGTATTAAAGTGGAAAGAATAAGAAAATAAAGGCAAACTTTATATAATATTAGTGTGATTTTTCTTTGCCCTTGAAGCAATATTCTACGTAATATGACATTGTCGAAGACGCAAATATTATTGTCATTTTTCCTTTTTCCTTTTTGATTWTAAGTTGTAATTATACAACTTTTTTTTATTGGCTAAGTAAAATCAATCTGATGGAATCATACGATTACCTTTTTGTCTATGTTTGCCTAATGATATGACATGTCCGTCAAATGCTCGTCAAATSTCGTTATCAGCTTCCTGCTTAATTTGCATTTGTTAGTTTACTCAGGGTTCCACTTTGCTATGTTTTCGCCATGATGAGCGTCCAAGCTATTCTTGTGAATTGATACAAGTTTTATGCTCAAAAATGCAAAAAGAAATCATTGTTTTGAGTGTAGTTTTAGTTTTTGTCTATCCTGATTGTCACATTTCGATAAGCTCCATCGCTCTAGAGGGATTTACTTACGGGATCTTTAAAACATCGGGAATCAGAGATTGTTTTCAGCAATGCAGACAAGAGCCATCCTGTCAGAGTCTTGACTATTATACTAATATATCGCTGTGTGAGCTTAATAACCGAACAATTGCGCAGAAACCTTCGCATGTGAAGAAACAAGTTGGTTCAACGTATTTTGAAAACCCGTATAAAGGTAGGAAGAATAATCCATCCATCCATCCATCCATCCATCCATCCATCCATCCAACCATCCATCTATCCATTTATTATTCAAGTCATTAAATTTTTCATTCTCATAAATAATACCCTTCCATCTATCTTTTTTTTTTTTTTCAGTTCCTTTGGGTTCGTCGGCATCAGTTCCCGCAATTTCATGTCAAGAAATCAACAACACATCTTCTAGTGCAAAAGAAGGCTACTTCTGGATACTTGATGGCATCACACTTAGTCCTGTCAAACGATACTGCCTAATGGGTAATGTCATTGATGTTCAGTTACCAAACTTGAAACTTTGCCATAATATTTTTTCCTGATATTTGWCTTTAATTTACAGCCAATTCAAACACAGAAATAAATTCATTTACAGTTAATACTGAATACTATGGAACTGAGGTTATTGCGTTATAAATTAAAGTGAGAGTGCGCCAAAACCAGAATAAATCCATTATGTTTTAGTATAGCGAAATTTATCTCAAGCTATATCTTACAGCCAATAACTTGCATAAACACATACGCCAATAATATAGAACGTCTAGTTTAGTTTATTCAGGCCTCAATTGTTTACTTAATATYTAAATATTCAATATACAGCTTGTAGCTTGTTTGATCAATAATCTTAAATCTTAATTTAGTTATTTTCATCTCAAAAGTACGACAACCAATTTATATCGAACTTCTAAATAGTGCAAAATTTTGTCGGAACATTATATGAAATCCCTGAAATTTTTTCCATATTTTCACTTCTTGTTGTCATGTTTTCRTGATCGTATCTAAATWACGCACTCTTCACACATCAAATCGAAATATGGCGTCCAATAGGCCCTTTGCAGCTAAGCAATCACATGCTGATTGATTCACTGAGAGCAAATGAATGAACATCTTGATTCCCATCAGTGAAATTTACTGGACTGCAAACAAACTTTCTACAACCTGTTTCGAGAGATCGTAATAAAACTATATTTCGTAACACACTGGATACACATGTTTTCATTCAGTTCTTTACAAGTAGCTAAAAAGAATCACCAATTTAATATAAAAACAAAAATTTTGCGGTCCAGTACAGACACGTGACCGTTAACTGCAAAGGGCCTATTTAAATAATTATTGATTTGGACTGAGTAGCCTCTCATACATGTGAAAAACCGACCATTTTATGTTTCAAATTTCACTACGATTCCCCAACGTAACCCTCTATGCAAGTACCTTACCTACCTTCTATATTCCACATATACACATCAGTCCTACGTATCCCACCTATTACCTATCTCATTTGGATCAGAAAACCTGAAAAAGGACTGAAAAATATTAATATGATTTGTTGATTACCAAGTCCCTGAATAACACGTATACAAATCTTCTGATATTTTTAACCACAGGCCACAGCTGTATGAAGTTGGCTGGATCGCCATCAGAAGGGATATATACACTTGCAAATAACGTTGAAGTATGTGTACTTGCCTTTCCTACAAATGAGTTATATGGCATTATATGGCTTATTATCAAACTGGGGTAATTTTACTCACCTTGGCTTAAGGCGCGATTACACGGAGCAATTTTCTCTGCAACTTGTTTCTTAATGGCGTTGCGACACAAGTTGCAAGAGTGTTACACGGTGCAACGGGGTCGCAATCGTTGCCAAAAGTCGATAGAAACGAATTCTGCTTTTTGCAACGTTTGCTGCAACTTGTCTTGCAACATTTTTCAAATTGCGCTGTAGGTTACACGCTGCAATGCTCTGTGCATCTTGTGTCGCAACACTGTTTACTGTTGCCTTGCCTTGCCTTGTCTTGCCTTGCCTTGCCTTGCCTTACAATTCTTTTCTATTAAGGTGTACTGTTACAAAGGATGGACTTTGATCGGTCGCTTCTCTAACAGAGACACAAAGAACTGGATGAGAGACGATGCYTCCTGGTGGTACGACGTCATGACAGGYCAAGGTGACACCACCAACACATCTGTCAATCAAGACATGATATCTCCCGCCTTCTGGTCACTTCCAGGCAGKGAGTTCAAGATCACACGATCTGACGATCCAAGTCACACTGCTCTACTTCAAACCACATCTAACTGTCTGGGATCCCGTACATTTCGTTCAATGATAACGAGCTATGGAAACTTCCGCAACGGTACCGTGTGGGCGAATGACAAATGTCTTGGAAGCTGTAGTGTAGTGTATGGTGGCCAATACTCCTCTACTGATGGATTCTCCCAGGCAAAGTGTAGCAGCAATATCCAAAGCAGTAATAGGATCGGGTTTTGGTGTCATTGGAGTGCTGATGGAGCAGTGATGATGATTGGTGGAGGGGGTAGCGCATGCGCACGAGCTGATCATGGCATCGGTATTACAGAAGAGAACGCAGCTGATTTTGCCACTACACAAGTTGAATGTSACTTCGGAGAAGTTTTAGGCGAAGGAAGTGGTTCTTGTCCGTCATCATCGTATGCTCTTAATTTGTGGATTCGACAGCTTTAAACACATCTTTTTTCCCATTTGTCTCAGTCCGAAGTTGAAAGAAAGACTGGTGATGATTTCTAGGAATTAATTTGGAGATCTAAAACGCTAGACCAMGTTCTATGCACTACAAAGTCAATACAAACAACACAAACCAATATGGAAACAAAATAGCTTGATGTGTGTTAGTCTAATTCGCGCARGGTTATGTACACAGTGCAGTGAGATGCCAGATGCATGCATTTTTATGGTGCTTTTTGTGTAAAAATATAAAAATATTGTATAAMTAGATTGTTTAGTACGTTCTTTTCATTGGGATACCAAAATATATATAATAACACTATTCTGTGCGACAGACTAATAATTGCACTCATTATTGATTCACGTTCTCGCTTGCATATCATATAATATGTCAAAAAAGATCGTAAGGTCGCGTTTCATTTTCTCTGCAGCATATTTCTTGTTTATACCTGTCGTAACAAGAACCTGGAGTATTTTGTTACTGATGACACAATTTGGCCTAGACAGCATTATTCAATTCCTTATTTCAGCATTTTGTCAGTCAAAATGAATCAGGAAAAGTTGATTTTGAAACCATCAACTAACACACGTACCGTTTTCTGTTTAGTGTTGGTGGTGTTAATGTGTTGTGGTGAATTTGTACGTATCGAGATGATTCTGAAGCAACAAAATACGAAAATACAACAGTTGGAGATCAAGATGACCTTTCAAGCAGTTAATGTAGACAAGATGGCGGCAACCAAAGGAAAGGKTCTAGAACAACTCGCTTTAGACGTTAAGGAATGTTGTGGAAGGACAAAGAAACGAATACAAAGGAGTGTYGACGGACAAGACTTAGTAATGCAGAAAGAAACCGGCAACCATACGAAGAGTGAGAGTCGTCTTGTTGAAAAACTGACCAAAATAATCGATCAGAAAATGAGCAAAGCTATCTCTKCTAAGMACTTTATCGCTATACGAGGKARAAGAGGCAGAAGAGGACCCAGAGGACCACCAGGACCMATGGGTAAACCAGGTAGAACAGGCAAGCAAGSAATWCCGGGACTAAAAGGKGATCCAGGACAAAATGGAGCTCCTGGTCCTCGAGGCATGCCGGGACCRAAAGGGGACCGCGGTCCTTCGTTAGAACATCCATCAGTTGTCATCTCTCCGCCTYATTTRATCGTCAATGAAAGCAAACCAGCCATTTTACACTGTTCTGCAAGTGGATATCCTCGACCTAAGATCGTTTGGAGTAAAGTGGATGGTTCATTGTCCCACAAAAGATCAATGGCTGATGATACTGGTAAACTGTTGATTGAAAACGTCACATTCAATGACTCAGGGGTATATCAGTGTCATGCTTCTAATATCCTTGGTAAAACACAGACAATATCAAAACTCGAGGTGAACTTCCGTCCAAGATTGACATTAAAGAGCGGACCAATCTACGCTAAGATAGGAGACAATGTTACTCTGCCCGTGTGTCACGTGACGGGCCATCCACAGCCGGAAGTTGTATGGCAGAAGCCAGTCGGGCGGTTACCAAGTAAGCGTGTCAGTCTTCGAGATAATCTTTTGACTTTACTAAGCATAACAAGTGAAGATTCTGGTGCCTATCTGTGTAGGGCTGAAAATCAACTTGGATTCGAGGTAGCAGGATGTGTTTTAGTCGTGGTACAGTTGCCTGTAATCATCGTTAGACCTCCGCCTGTATTGAACGCCACACTCACCTCGACCCTTATGCTCAATTGTTCAGCTCAAGGTGCCCCTCCACCGATAATCAGCTGGAGAAAAGAAAAACAGGATCTTCCAGTAGGACGGTATGAAGTACGTCATGGGTCATTGATGATAAAAAATGTGGTCAGCTCTGATTCAGGTGTCTTCGTGTGTACCGCTACGAGTGTTGGAGTTGCTGATATAGTAACTAAAACACGAATTAACATTGTCTACAGAGACTGTGCAGAGATCTACCAATCAGGTGAAAGACGTAACGGTGTGTACACAATACATCCCGACAGTCAAGAAGCCTTTCAAGTCTACTGTGACATGACAAGTGATGGAGAGGGATGGACTTTGATCGGTCGCTTCTCTAACAGTGACACAAAGAACTGGATGAGAGACGATGGCTCCTGGTGGTATGACGTCATGAAAGGTCAAGGAAGCACCACAAGTACGTCTGTCAATCAAGACATGATATCTCCCGCCTTCTGGTCACTTCCAGGCAGTGAGTTCAAGATCACACGATCTGACGATTCAACTCACACTGCTCTATTACAAACCACATCCAACTGCCTGGGATCTCGTACATTTCGTTCAATGATAACGAGCTATGGAAACTTCCGCAACGGTGTCGTCTGGTCGAATAACAAATGTCTTGGAAGCTGTAGTGTAGCGTATGGTGGTCGATACTCCTCTACTGATGGATTCTCCCAGACAAAGTGTAACAGCAATATCCAAAGCAGTAATAGGATCGGGTTTTGGTGTCATTGGAGTGCTGACGGAGCAGTGATAACGATTGGTGGAGGGGGTAGCGCATGCGCACGAGCTGACCATGGCATAGGTATTACAGAAGAGAACAAAGCTGATTTTTCTACAACACGAGTTGAATGTGACTTCGGAGATATTTTAGGACGAGGAAAAGGTTCTTGTCCGTCATCATCGTATGCTCTTAATTTGTGGATTCGATAAACTGTTGAACATTTGATTATATATTGAGCCATTCTTTATAGTGATAAAAATGATGATAATAATAATAATAATAATAATAATAACAATAACAATAATAATAATAAGTTTACTAGAACTATTATAGGCTTTTAATTAAAACCAAAACGGCTAAAATAAAGCGACACACCTACACCTGAAACGATAAAATCTTTGGACAACAAATCTTGTCATGAAGAAAACGTAAGTAAAATCTTTTTATTATATAAACTATAGTCGTTTACAAAGATTTCTACAACTGAGAAATTTCGTATTTCAACACGTGTAAAAATACGATAATTTTCACATGTAAAATCATAACCAATCAGTTTTCAGTATTCTGTGACGTCATTGCTCTCACAGACGCGGGAAAATCACAAACATCGGCAGCTTTGTCTCGTATGTGGTCCCAAAGATTGCTCACTGGATCGATAATATTGTTAAAATTATCGAAAATTAAGTTCAAAAACATGGCTGAAAGGTTTGTCACATTTGATTTACAAGACGTCATAGATTTTATCGTGGAGGAGGAAAATGCAAACACCAAAAAAGACAAAGAACGACCTGTCGCTCATTCAGTTATTTCTCACAACTGAGAAGGAGACTCGACCGATTGAAGAGATTCCCACTCAAGAACTCGACTCGTATTTGTCCAGATTTTTGCTATCAGTCAGAAAGAAAAACGGTGAGGAATATGAACCAACMACCCTACGAGGGTGAACAGTCTAGAGTTGAACTTGATTTGGGTTTGTTTACTAGAGACTGTATTTAAATTCTCGGTTTTACGTAATAAAATTCCATTGTTTTCAAAAAAAATACAGTGCTGTGGTTTATATAATAAACAGAAAAATACATGGCCGCTTGGAGGTATGGAAGTTATCTTCTCGTGTTCAAATTTGATATCTCACTCGAAGATAACTTCCATATCTCCGCGAGACCATGTATTATTCTCTATATATAGAACTTTTCTTTCATTTTGGACCCGGAAGTCGTTTTTCCTAACAACTGACGTCACAGTTAAAAGCGGCTTTATTTTCTCGCGACATCAAATATACGATTCCGCCATTGC